CCATGTGTCTTGATAAGTGTCATGGCAGGGTCCCTTGTGCTCCTGGGGGTGACCTGCTGAGTGTGTCACCTGCTGCACACTGTGTCCGTGCTGGTAAGGGCACTCTGAAGAAGGGATGTACCCTAATGCTCTGTGCCATTAGTAGGGACAGGAGATCCCACTGACCACCACTGCCCTGCCACTCATCTCACAGGCTGCTGGAGAAGGTTGTGCTGCCAATGCTGATTTTGGTGTGAATTGTACTGAAGGTGACCTGCTGAGTGTGTCACCTGCTGCACACTGTGTCCGTGCTGGTAAGGGCACTCTGAAGAAGGGATGTACCCTAATGCTCTGTGCCATTAGTAGGGACAGGAGATCCCACTGACCACCACTGCCCTGCCACTCATCTCACAGGCTGCTGGAGAAGGTTGTGCTGCCAATGCTGATTTTGGTGTGAATTGTACTGAAACAAGGCAATAAAGAGTTGATTTGGGGAGGCTTGTGTGGCTTTGTGGAGCATCTCAAAGGGCAAAGGATGCTGCTGGACCTGGTCCTCTCTGACATGGAGAGGGTTCTGAAGAGATTCTGTTGTGGCATCAGTGGGACACCACAGCAAGGCAAGCAGCCTCCAGGCAGGGACTTGTGCAGTTGGTCACACTTCAGCCTCGTGGTGCTGGGGTCTGGGGCAAAGGTGAGGGGACATCTGTATGGGTGTGGTGGTCCCTGGGCTGCTTTCTCTCTTCCCTGGTGAGGAGACCACCCCCAGGTCTGGTAGCTCCAGCCCCTTCACTTCCCCTCAAAAGCCTCTTGGGTTGGAAATCTCCCAGTGAAGGAAGTGGTGTGTTGCCCACCCCAGGACAGGGGATCCCATCCTCTTCCCTTCAGCTGCAGACTCTTTCTTTTAGAGTCTGCACAGCAGAGAGAAGAAAACGGAGAAGCTTTGCCATGTCCCAGGAAGGAGAAGGGCAATGGGTTTTGGGTTCTGCAGCTCATTGACCTCCATGGAGATCTTACAGAGGGAGTTTATTGAGCCTGAGAAGGTAAGAAAGGACATGAACTTCGAGGTCTTGACGGAGGACTGGAAGCAGAGGAGGGGTGAGGACAGCCAGGGAAACCTGCTCTGCAAGGTGGCAGTTGGGAAGGGAGCAGGCTAAATGTCACTGAACCAGGGATGGGAGCAGGTGGTGAGATGGAAACTGTCCAGAAAGCAAGAGCAATCTGACCGTGGCAAGGTGACAGACGAGTGGCACTTGCTGCAATGCCGGAGGGATGAAGAGAGACAGAGGAAGTGTGACAGTTCAGAGCTCTTGCAAATAGGAGGAAGAAATGATTGAGCAGAAAGGATGTGAACTCACCCCGATGCAGCTTCCTAAGCGTTCCTAGAAATCACAAATCTCTCTCTACCAGAGGGTAAAGGCTGAAGGCAAGAGACAGCTCCGAATATGCAATGAGTTTTTCTGTCTGGTGGACTCTCCACATCACCCACATCTAAGAAACTGTTTGAGGCAGATGCCAGTCTGAGATGACCAGACTGGTTGGCACTGGGCAGGTGGAGAAAAGCTGAGATCACTGGGACCTGGCTTTTAGAGCTCCCTGCTGCCTTAAAGTTAAAGCTGTTCCTAAAGTGATTTGCAAGCAGGTTTTCTGTCATGACAAATGGAGCTTGCCCCCATCCTCGGTAGAAACACATTTATTCCCTGGTGCTGGCCTTCACTAGGATCCTGCCCAATGAGGACCAGATGCTGCTCGGATCAGCCACCTTCAGCCTTGAGGGATGGCTGCACAGCTCAGCATGATCTAGCCTGAGAACATGGGTCTTCCCAACACCATTTCTATTTGATTTCCATATGTTGAAAGAAGATGGGTGTGTATACATATGTATACACATATTTTTTGCAGGGGCATTTTGGATTGAGACAGTCTCTTCCTGTGGTGAGTCCCAGGAGTGATCTGCTCAAGGTGTCTGGTTTTACTGAAGGCTGTAACCCCTTGGGATACCACGTCTGGCAGAAGGGCCATGGGTTGAGTAATCAGGGAGCTGCTTTTATGAGCAATCACTAGAGTAATGTCACATTTTTAGGCTTTGGCTCTTGGGTCAGTTTGGTCACCAAGAGATGCTGACAGTGTTCCCTGTTAAAATTTTCCTCAGCAAAATCTACAGACCTGTGGTTTTAAGAACGTGTTTTCTCAACAAATGTTATCTTTCTTCCTCTTCTAGTACAGTGGAAAAGGCTTCATCATTTTACGGGTTGTCTGTGTCTAGGAACTGAGCAGAAACGTTCTTTTTGGTCTTCATTGCCACTTCTGCCTTTTGCTGGCCGTTAGAGGAAAGGTGATAGCCAGCCACCATTTCTAGCATACTCTATCCCTGGAAGTCTGGGATATAGCACTACTTTAGGAAAACAGTACTTCTATATGCAGCATGCAAACCCATACGTGTCTTTTTTGGATGCTGGCCCCCATACTCCCCCATTTGGTGTCTCTGGGAAGAGCTTTTTGGGTGGAGAACTGAGCTTCCCCTCCCTGCAGTGAGCCAGGGCCTTGGTCCCTGGGATGGTGAGGAAGGCAGGGAGCTGGCAATTCCGAGTGCACTTTTGCCTTCAGGGTGTCTAATTCCTCTGTGAAAGAGTGGAGATGTAAAAGCCATCAGATCATAAACCTCGATTGCCATCAATCTATATCTCGACCAGCCCAGCCCAGCTCCTCCTTCTGTGCGATGCCAGACTCTGACCTCCAGCTCCTCTTGTCCTTGTACCTCAGAATGCCTATGGACACAACAAAATAATAGAAACAACATGTATATAGAGATGTGCATGTATGTGATAATAATGATGATATTCTTATCATAGTAATGACTTTATTTTTGTTCACAGCTAGACTTTCCCAAAGTGTCCATTAAAAATATTTACCTTTATGTACATTGCATAAAATATTCAGTGAATACCACACTGTGGTTTCAGGATGAGTCCCTCTGTTAGTAGTTTACAAATTCTGAAACCCTTGACACTATTGCTCGTCTTGGTCTGAATGCAGAGGAAACTCCCTGCAAGCCACTCTCCTCTTCAGTCCTATCCCACTCTTTCTCTTTGTCTCCAGTCTCAGGCTTAGTGTCCTCTGCTTTTTGCATTCGCTTGCCCCATCTCCATCTCCTCAAGGCTGTTTTTGGGAGAGATGAGCATCATGACAAGGTCATAGTTAGCAAGGTCAGCCTCAAAGAGCTGCATCAGCGTATATGGCAAATACATCCCCTCCTCTGGGTGCAGATTTGAGCTGACGGTGACATGAGTATTGCAGCCCTTGCCCCCCTGTCCCCCCTGCAGGCTGCCTTCCTGCGCTCCTCCTCCTTTGCAAGATGGGGCAGTTCTGAAGATCTCTGAGGATGCTTTCTCCACGCACACAGCGCTGCTCATGGGCCTTGGAGGCAGCTGCTAGCGTGCAGAAAGCTGTTAGCTGCCTTTGCCTCGCTTGTGCGGGCTTTGTTCACACCCCTGTGTCTGGGGGTGTGGATTAACAAGTGTGCTGCGCTCCTCGCTTGAACTTTGAGGGCTCCTCTGAGCTGTCATGCGTTGGCGGGTGTGAGATCGAGAAAGACATGAGCAATTCAGGACTCCCTGCAGGCTCCCAGAATAGTGGTGAGGAGTTAGCTAAGGTACCCCGGGGTAGGTGTCTGCTGTGGCTGGCTCGAATGTGACCAGAGTTGTTAAGGACATGGGTGCATGGCCTTGTTTGCAACAGGCTCAAACAGTGCATGGGCTGGATGGTGCTTGCTGGGTGACCCTGCGCTGGGTGTCCTTTAACAAGAAACCCCAAGGGTGCAGGACTGCTCCCAGTGTCACAGGGGCTTGTAGCCAAGAGGGACTGTGGAGGCTCAACCCATTTTAGGATGACCCCGTTGCAGGTCTCTCTGGCTCCTGCTGTTCCCTGGAGCTCTGGACACTCCGTTAGGTCCTCAGGGTGAAGCTACTGGGCTCCAGCACCCAGATACGGGGCTGGCTGGTACCCAGTGTCCTCACCTCCAGCGTGGCTGTGACGAGCCCTGCTCCCTAAGCTGGCCCTGGGCAGTGCCTGGGAAGTCAGGGATGTGACCAAAGCCACCACCTTTGCATGCGGGAGCAGCTCCTTGCCATCAAGGCACAGCTGCCTTCGTGGTGTCATCCACCAGAACCTCCCAGCCATGGCCTCCTTCCCAGCAACATCTTAAGGATGAGGAGTCTAGTCCTGCTTTCTGGCACAGCCCTTCGCTTCACCCCCGTCCTCCTCGGATGCTATTTTAAGCTGAGTGCAGTCAGCGCTGTAGTGGGATGATTGGTGGGGTGGGCTGAGAAGCTGGGGGCTGCAGCTCCTGAAGTGACGAGACTCCTGACACAACCAACGTGCTCCTTTCCTCCTCCAAACACACCCACATCCTGCTGGTCCCTCCCAGGCCCACCTGAGGTTTCTCTCGCTGCATGACTCCCAACCCAGCCTCTGCTCTGTGTCTACTCATCTTCATCCCTTCCCATTAGCCCCCTCCCTGCTCTGCTGCCCCATGTCTCACTGATGTTCGAGTTTGTCCTCCCAGTGTGTGAACACCCTGGGGTGAGATGAGCGCAGGCAGGTCTCTGACCTGAGCCTTTTTCATTGGGCTGCCCTGTAGACACCAGAGGTCCAGGCGGGAGGAACCCACACCCTCGTTACTCATCCAACAGCACGTATGCAGAGCTGATTAGAGCAACCTCAATGCCATCAGGGGGATGTGCTCCATCTCCCTCAGCTCTGGTGGGAGACCAGCCCCAGGGCTGCAGTGGAGATGTCTCCTTGCAAGGGCAGATCCTGCCCTGGGGCTGGGGTCTGCTGACAGACCACCCTGAGGTGGTTGCAGGAAGACACAGCATCTCTGGACAGACATCTCCAGAGATAGGCAGGTTTTGGAGGCATGGAGAAAAACCACCTTTTCTTGTAAGAGGGATACATCTGGCTAAGCCTCATGTCCCAGTTAAATGAGATTATAATGAAATAGTTCTAAAAATCTTGTAGTGAAACATATTTTTCCCATCCTCAGCTCTGGGAATAGCTGATCCATTTAGCTGCAGCTCTTAGAAAACTCTCCCTGAAGCAGCCAGTATGTTAAATTTCAGCCCCTGAAGGTAACATTTTGATTGCCTGTAATGGGGCCAACAATGGAATTTAACCAGCTGCCAGTAGTCATAATGAGTAGTGATTAAATACCTTATAAAAGAGTGAACCAAGCTACCTGAATGTATTCTGTACCTTTCTCATACCTCCTCCTTCGTGGCTTTTCTCTTCTTATTTTGCAAAACAGGATGTTCAGGTAGGTAAATCTTGGGGGATTTTGACAGCATAGAAAAGGGAATAAAGAACATTTTACCACTACTATAATTTCAGCTATGGTCATTTCAAAGAATCATAATAGAGGCAAAGATAGAAGGTTCTTACAAAAATATTTATTTATTGGAATTTGAGTTAAATATTACATCAAAAATAAAATTAATTAAATATAGAAAATATAAGTCGAACTTTGATCTTCATTTAAAAAAAATATACCTATTAAATAATATTCTTATTTGTCTGGAATGTAGTTATTGCACCTGATCCCTCCTTTATAAAAAATTAAATGGCACATTAAAGTAGAAATCTAGAACAATTTGAATTCCTCAGCTGGTTTCAAGTGATGCTGAAGCATTTCTGATGGAGCCCGCTGCTGGCTCTGGCTCGCTCATCCTGGCAGCCGGGGGTCCCAGGGCTGCAGCATCTGCCCCTCAGTTCAGCTCCAGATCGTTCACGTACTGCTGGACCCACTCCTGCTCGGGGTTGGCGCAGACTTCGCGCTTCTTCCTCGTGATAAACCTGCAGGGTGCAGAGTGGTGAGTTTTCGCTGGGAGAGAACTTCAGCCAAGCCCTAAATTCAGCCCCCAGTTAGTTTGCAAAACGGTGGAGGCTGGACTGGTGTGAGCCCCCTGAGTCCATGGAGCACCCCCTTGCACCTCCTGTGCCCCTCATC